GAATACGGAGTGTCGACAGCAAGTTCCTAGTCACTAGCTGTGGTTTAACCTTGATCCCTCAAATATAGTCAGTACCGGAATACTTTTATCGAATATTTGGGAGATAAAGTATTACCAGTAATCTCATAAATTTGGGCAATTCCTTTAAAAGGTCGCTCTGTACATAGTAAGGAAGATCTATTGCACAATGCTGTAAAAATGTCAGTCCACCAGATTAAATCATGCTTCTAACTGTTCTAATTTTCCTCTCGTGTGGAGGTTTGGGTACGAAAAAAATTACCCCATATTGGGTTATCAAGTATACAGACTACATTTTCTGAAATTTGTTTCAAGTCACATGATTTTGATGCATGTCACACGTTTTATTATCCACGATTATTTTTAGCCTAGGCCGCATTCGTGTTTTCTAGGTTGTGAGGGTGAATAGGGGTAATATTCTGTGGATATTATTTTACTCGTATGACGTTGTGATTCCTATAGGAATGCCTCTGGAATTGAACGCGTGGGTTTGATAACTCGCGATTAGATCCCGCTGTTCGAACTACGTCAAATCACGGAAAGAATAAAATTTTTCTTTAAAATATTGCCGATCGTGGGGAAAAGCGAAAGGGCATTCCGATTTACGAGCGAAGCGTGTTCTGGGTTACGACGAAAGTACCTGCATTTAAAACGTCTCGGAGACTCAGGAAAAAATCTTTCTTGCTTTGATCTCTCACATTCTCTTGGCAATGTTGTAGTAAGAGAAGAAAAAAAAGAAGACATTATGCCAGAGAGAAGAAAATGAACGAAAAAAAAAAAGAAACCCCGGAGGACCTTGGGATATGACAAGGGATTGTCGGCGAGTTGTGCCCTTCCAACATGACGGGATCGGTGACTACAAGTACCCTTATTCTATATGGACGAGTTTCTGGGCTGACCGAGTCACGTTTGGTTTGCGCTTCCTTCCGCGAGGGCACTTCCGGGAACCCCGGTGTTCCTTGAGAACGATTCAAGTACCTTTCCGCGCCGTGGAATCATTTTGATATTTTCTCTTCCTTTCTCAAAATGCTCGATAACTCACGCCTTACGCCGCATGCTTCTTCCTTGAGCTTTCATTTTACGGTATCATTTAAAAATTGACCGTTATAAATTGTGGTGGCATTCATTGATGCCAATCAGAGATTTTTATGGAAGGTACAGCAGTTTGAAACCGGCGGTACGCGAGATTTTTTTTTCCTACCACATAAGTATGCAAGTGGTAATCAGCGAAAATAAATGGATGGAGTTTAATAATTGAATTCTTGGTTGCGCTGAATTATTAAATTCCAATTTTATGTACTTCGGTTCATGAACAAGAGCGGCCGTACTTCCTAGAATATAATTGAGGAAAATGCATTCCCCTTCATATTAAGAACTAATTACTGTACTGTACTGTATATTGGTTAGATATAAATTCATGTGAAAGGTTTCATACGCATCGGCATTTTAAAAAATCAAGACCGAGTCTATAATGTCCTCTTGAATTTTCCTAGCTGTTCTGAATTGAGAAACGTTTGCTTTGTTCGATTTTTGGAAATTTAGCGCTTTAAAGAAAAACTCACCTATATCTCCTAAATATACAAATTGTATGTAGAAGCCCAAAAAATTTCTCGAAAATTTGGGGATACAAATTTCAGAATAATGTTGCCTTGAATCCGTTGATTTTGAAAGTCAGAAGACCGCCTGCAGTACTGTAGACGACGTTAAGTTAAAAAGAAGTAAAAATATTTTTCAGCATACAAAAGAATATCGGAAGAAAGAGATTCAATTGTGGAGTTCTGATTTTTTGTCATTGCGAGGCCCAAAAATGTATTTATAATGCATGCACCATTCGGTGTTTTATAGAAATTCTACGATTTAATGGCTCCCATGTCCTTCGATAACTCAATTTTATCATCAAACTTCAGCCTCGCATCGCGAGAGCATTCAATATTTTTCATTCTCAAAGAAGGGAAAATGATTTGGCGGAAAATGTTGTGATTTTAATTTATGAATTACGGCGTGCTTTTCCGAGGGAAAAAATCGTTTGGCGATGACGAAAGAAATAATGTATCTCGCATATTTCAACAGTAAAACAATCTTTTTTATGGTGTGCGGATGTTTTTCATTGGTCGGTTTGATGGAAATTTGCTGCTGAAATCGTTCTTTTAGCAGAGAACTCGCAGAGGATCTTCCAAGGATTTTTTCCATGTTTTCTGTTCGGTGATGCGTGAGAGCAATCAAACCCCGGCGCTTAATTCCCCCCCAGTTCCTGATGGCTGGTCGGGAAAAGACCGAGCGAATGCAATTTGAAAGGATATCTTGGGTAAACAAATTATGCAATTTGGTTGGCATTCGACGGAAATATTTCCCTGCTTGGTTCCAGTTAGTTTTTACGACCCCCTTCCCTTCCGCTTGAAGCGATAGCGGCGGGTCCCAATTTGCATACATTTGCTTGTTCGCTTGGCGAGCTGGATCTAACTGTTTATCGTCAGTTCGTTCGACCAGCGCACAACGGGGTTCTTCTCTTCGGAGAATCACGTTTTATGGTTCTTCGACTCGGCCGCATTTTTTAAAAATCTTTATTCATTTCATTTATTTTTGTGTTGTCTTCTTTTTTTTGCTGCGTTATTGATGTCGAAGTAAGAAGTGGTGCAGTGCGATCACGAGTCCGCGGCGTGAGGATCACTTCCTTGTTGTCGGCGAGCGATTTATTCCAAGAAACACTGCGTCGTTAGATGACAGGTACCCCAATATTCAACTACATATTTTCCATGCACACATGCATACATTTATTCAGCTGAACTCCGAAAATTGGGGGGGGGGGGGGGAGAGGGGGCGCATTACCGTTTGACAAAGATTCACCGGGGAATAGTATTTGCCCCCCGAAATCGACGAATTTTTGGTGACCCTTTTCATGCTCTACCTCCTCTGAAAAAAGAGAGCGAAAATATATCCTACAATCAGATCGAAAATAAGAATATTCTTCCAACCATTTCGCGTATGGGGAGACAAATACGATGGATATTTCATTAGTTTGAACATTACATTATTTTTTCCAAGTGTCGGAGGGGTGTCGATGCTTTTAAAGACTAGTAGAAATTAAAGGAGAAAAAAAGCTTTGATTTCCCGCTGTTACTCAAATATAAGACCATCTTTTCCACGCACAAAAATCGGACAGTCCCGTGACACTAATTATTTTAAAATATGTACAGTATGATCTTGGCTTTCTTGCGTAAATTTCTTGCAAAATCTCCACTCTGTATTTTCTATCAACTGTGCACCTCGTAAGATTCCAGATCACGATTTTTCTTTCAATTACATGCCTTTTTTTAGAGCAAGGTACTATTCGATGATAAATAAGGTGGTGGAGACTGATTAGACCGCTATTCCCGTTCGGATTCACATGAGGTGTTCCAGAATCTCGATGAAGTTTTCATTAATTCGAGACTTCTTGTTGGAAATCACGAAACCCTTCTTATAACCGAAGATGAAACTCATATTGATGTAAAATTCAACAAGGTCAGTTCGAGGAAGCATTTCTCGTTGCATTTCTCGTCTGAGTAACCTTGTGAGTCAATTCGTGCGGTTGTGCCATATTTGCTCGTATAAGACGTCCCGAGCAGTTGCTCGAAATGTGCGTGGATGAGCTCAAAATCGGCGTCTTGCATTTCATAGCGACCTAAATTTATAAATTGATTGCATAATTGTTTCTAACCAGCAACGCAATCATAAAAATACAATCTGAAATTGAATTGAACGGATCCTCACTAGAAATTGTCACCTGAAAGGCTCAAGATTCCGAATGATGATTTTCAAGAATGGAAGCGTTCGAAAAGCTGAAACTGGAAATTGAAGCATGAACCCAATCGAGGTGTTCCTCATATTCAAAAGAAATTTGATGCAATTGAGCGTATGAAGGAAGCATACGCTCAAATGATTGTCTTCATCACGAGGCAATAATAAAATAAAATTATGCTGGTGGATCTTCGGTTAAATGTCGCCTTGCATTAGGGTAAATTTGGTAGCTCTAATCACTTCTCGTGCTCATGCATATTCTTCGTTCTCCGATGAGGGCTTCGGTAGGATATCATCCGATGAATACGGCGGCTTTGTGATCTTGACCCGAACGAAGGAGAGTTCGAGTCGCGAGGAATGACGTTGACGGTTTCGTCTCCTTGTTGCCCTTTGGAACGTCACGGGAAACGTGATCAAGGACGACGGAATACATTTTGAGCATCTCTCGAATCTCATGATGAGTCCGTCCGTCCGTCCATGGCGGTCGACGCGGATGAAGATTACCGTGTAGCGACACCTCGTGAAAATAAATACAAGCTTGATCTTGATTGTAACGCAAAGGTGTCGCTTTTAGACTAAACGTTCGCGGCGCGATTTCGAAGCGTCCATGCGCTTCTCGTATTGATGCTTGCGGAGAAAATTTTTGCTGGCACTTTTCTGGATATGCAATGTTAGATTATTGCTTTTCCATCGTTAAAACTGTTTATCTTTCCTTCTTGAATCTCCTCCAAAGCTTCTGAATATTACGTGCGTGCGTGTACTTTACTCTCAACCATCCACAGAGGAAGAAATGTTGGATACGATTTTTTCTGTGATGTTATCGTTGTATTTCATTGATTCTCTGAATTGTGAAGGTGAAAGTATGACCTGTCGAAATAAAAAAGACGTGCAAAATTATAGGATTATGAAGATATGAAGCCAATCTCATTTTTGTCAACCCATTACTATGCATGTTTAATCTGTGTAATATGAACCACAGACCTTAGCTGTTTAGGAGTAGTGTTGAAACGCTTTGGGTGACATTATTGAAGTGGGAACTGTCTGCAACTGGGGAAAAACATTTGATTAAAAATTGAATGACTTTTAGGACTAAATGGAAATTTAAGTTTTTTTTATTATTGAAATTTTAGGATTTTCTCAGTGTAATTTTTTACTAGAAAGTCCTTTTCGTCGAAAAATCGGCTAATTCAGTTTTCTGTTTCCAGATAACCAAAAGTGAGACGAACGAGGAGCGGACGAGCTGGTGTTCGGAAGCGGAACAGCCACCATTCGCCGTTGGAGCCAGGAGAAACAACGGCGCCACTCACGCATCCAGCAGTCGGAGTATCATCCGCAGCAGTACAATCAGCTACAGCAGCAACAGCAACAGCAGGACTCCAGGTGACAGGGGACGGGTCGGAGTGCGACCGCCGCGGGGAACTCTGGCGGCAGTCGTTGGGCATGGCGCGGCTCGCGGGGGGATGCCCGGCGGCGCGGGACTCGACACGGGCGACACGACCGCCAGCCCGTCGTCGCACCAATTGGTCGGCAGTTCCGTGCCCGACTATGTGTGGAATTCCGGCCCGGCGGACTGCGACGACTCGTCGCCGTCCGTCGTGGCTACCTCCGCGTCTTCGCCATTAACTCATGGCGCCGGCGCCGTGAGCACGTCGTCGTACACGCTGACGGCCATCTTGAACGATGCTGCGTCCATGTCGCCCATCATGGTGGACATGGCGCCGGGGACGCCGCAGAACATCGCGTCTCCGGTCCAGTCTCATTTGCAGGCGGCTGTTCAAAGTCCAGTGCAGCAGCATCTTCAGGCCCATTCGAGGATCCTGGAGTTTCACTGCTTGGTTCGTTTCCTGGTCGGCTCTTTATAATACTGTACTGTACTATATAAATTAGGATGCCAAAGCACATTGACTAGCTTCCGTCCCTCGGATAATCGATATATTTTTATATTTTCATCGAATACTGTACATATAAAAATGCACGAATAAAATAATATTCCCCAAGCATCTGCAACATTGAGAATTGCATCAGCCTGAATAATTACTGTATTCACTTTGAAGGAAACTAAGTGGCTGAGTAAAAATAACAGCTACACATGCCTAATTGTTTTCTCTCGATAAATACAATTTAAGAACGTAAAAGTACGTTATTGGATTCCCGCATGCTGATTAAAGCTTCACTGTACTGTACCTTGTTTCTCAAATATCCTTTTAGTCTCGAAAAAATGTTAGTGTTGTTGAATGAAACCCGAACGTAATTTTTCAGCAATTTGTCTTGTGGAAAACAGTCGTTCAAGTGATAGCAAATCAAAAGCTGCTGACTCGAAATTGTTTTCATGTATCAGACATATTTTCTCGCAAATAAGTTCACCTCACTGGAAATTTTTTTGGTGTTGAGATTCACAAGATTTTTGAAACATCTCTCGAATCACTTGCTGAATTTAATTTTTCTCAGAAAGATGATTGGGCTTAACTAAGGGTTAGGACTTATTCTTAAATTAATACTGTGTGAGCTTCAGCTTCACAAATCTTAAAATCAAAGATTTATAATTGCGAAAATTTAATGTTAGGTCTTGAACTAAATGGAAGGATATCGTAGCGAGATAAGTAAGGTCCAATTCAGAGCAGTGCTGTAAAATAATAGCTAGAACTTAATCAGTAGATGCTTTCATCAGCACTTGAGTTTCTATAACACAACGTCGCATTAATTTTGCACGAAGGATTGTCCGGTATTCCTCGACGTTGGATTTGTAACTTGTTCTGTGAACGTGAATAACTGGTCTTCTTCGCTTCATTTCACCGAGAAAAGTTCTGCTAACTCTTCAAATGTCGGTTTGTGTAATGCCGACGATATGATTAATCAGTGATTAAACATTTCCACAGGAGACTGGATCCGACCGGAATGGTCTACAATTGGGCGGCTACGGAAGCATGCAACTCAACCAGAACCGCCACCAGATGCAAATTCCCGTCGTTCAATCCCAGCAACAACACCACACCTTGGGAAAGAGTTTGAGTGCAGACCCTGTCCTTGGTTGTGGTTCGCCGGCCACTCCTGTGCAGCAACATCAACAACAGCAGCAACAACAACAGCAACAGCAATACGACACAAATGGCGGTGATCAAGGGACAGAAGATTTGCTCACTCAGTTGGACGACACGGCCTTCCTCGACATCTTTTCAGATTTCGATGAAAAGGTACAGTTGCGGCTGGCGGAGGGCGAATTCGAGGTAAAGTCATTTCGTGAGACGATGTGGCAAAAATTATTCGTCTTCGTGTTGAGAAACGTGTTTTGAATTCATGCGCAAATATGCTTCGCTTCAGCGATGCTGCCATTCGTCGCACGAAATAACGATGGTATGCTTCAATAAATACAAGCAACGCATCGGGACAATGCAGATTTTTCTTGGATTCTTGTCGTGTACTGTATCCGCAATGGGTCAAATCACCGTAAAGAATTTCCACTCTTGGAAGAATGTCAGTTCATAATCTGATAGTCTTCATCCTGCTATTTTTATCAGCAATCAACATAATACCTGATTAATGGGATCGTACTAACGGTTGGCCGTTCTTCCTAAATAAATTTCATGAGATTTCCTCAACCGAGGTTTATTTTTATTTTTATTATGCACCTGCGATCCTGACATTTTAGCAGCTTATGTTTGTCAGTTTGAATGGATTTTAATATGAATTTGATCCTGATTTGCAGGTGGACGACTCGACTTTTCTGAGTCCAGGATTGAACTCGTGTGTCTTCAGGAAGCGTCAACCACAACAGCACCACAAACTGATCATCGATGGCAACAGCGTCATGTTGGGACTCGGCCATGCGACAATCAAGGTTATAGAGCTTAGAATAAATGTTCCTAACCTTGACTGACTATGTTTGAAATTCCCGAAATCTTTGCTTCTCTGGAAAAAAGGCATTAAAATTATAGTGTAGTTCATGAATAATAAGCAAAAAGATGCATTAATGCATGAAAAATGAGCGCAGTAAACAGGCTTCACGAAAAATAAGCGCAGTAAACAGGCTCTACGAAAAATGGGCGAGGATTCCTACTCGTAAGTCTAAACGAGGGAAACGAGTTTTAATTTTGTGTGCCCTGAGAAGTTAATTCTGCTTCAACATTAAAAAGATCTTCAAACCCTCCGTGGATCTAATGGTCGTAAGTTTTGGCTTTCTTTACATGAGCTGTCTTCATTCGTAAAGAAAACCCAAGATTTTTTTGCGCATAATAATGTACTATGGTTAGTCGACATTATAGGATAGCTCAGGATAGACATTATAGGATAGATATTCAGATTTCGTAGGTTGTCCATATGTTTTACCTTGGTAAGCGCGACATCTAGAAAATACGCTCTACTTCTAACTTCTGAAACTCAACTCTCTTGACCGTAACTTTTGTCCAGCTTCGAAGATGTCGCTAAGTTCTTCCCACCGCAGTTCTGATTTTGAAACCGTACTCGGGTATTATTCTTGATGCTAAAAATTAAAGAAAGGAAACCAGTTGAATCTACATCCACTAAGACATTTTATTTCAACCTGTCAAAAATTCGAATCCCTGCATTTTTTTTTCTATTTTCGAAGCTGCAGCTTGATTTTACGAATAACGAATTTTCCTTATACAGTACTAGAATTTTACTAGAACTAATATGGTGGGAATAATTTCTTGTCCTTCTAAAAAAAATGGCTATAAAGAATAGTCTCTACGTAATGGACACAGCGTATTTTACAGTCATTTGAAGCTATTTGGACGAAAATAACCGGAAAACGCATTTTTTGAAATTGGAATACGGTATATTTTACAATACGTTGGAGAGATTCTTGATACTGTAATAGTGGCAGGTCAGTGGGAAAAAAATTAACAATACTGTATATAGGAAAAGTAGCAGAGAGGTGGGAATCCGTTTTTGTAGCTAATAATTTTGAAAAAAAAAGGAAATGCAATTTTTCGAAAATCAAACCTCATCAGGAAATCAATTCGACATCTGTTTTTGGATCCGGCGTAAAGGGTATAGTGTGCTGTATGTTGGATAGTGTCTGAATATGCGTACACCATCGAAGCATTTTGAATAAATAGTGCCTTTAAAAAAAAAAAAAAAACGAGGATAAATTGGGGGAGAAAAAAATAAAATGAGCGGATTCTTCTTTTTTTCCGGTGCTCTCAGTTGGAGTCGTGCGATGCAGATCCGTCCCAGGTGTCGACAACCGAGAGCTGCGACCAGGTGTCCTCCACGCAACAGCCACTCACGCGTCCGGGCCACACTGGCCAACCGCCCCCAGGTCTGGGCCAGCCCCACTTGCCCTCCACGTCCAGGCCGTGTCCCGGCCTCATCCCGGTGTCCTCGTGTGACATGAAGCAGCAGGCGTCCTTCTTGCTGCCCGCTGGCGGCGGCCAGCCCGCTCTCAACAGTACCGTCTACGTTACCTGCTCTGCTCCGCCGTCAGCAGTGGCGCCCAAACTCGACTGCGGGGTGATGATGAAGCCCGCGTCGCGGTCCGGCGACACGACGCCGCCAGATTTGCAAGACTTCAAGCCGGACCCGGGCTTCTCCGTCGTGGACCTGGCGGCACTCAAGACTGCCGATGATGGAGACGAAGGCGGCCTGACGCACTTGGCACTCGTCACCGGATTCGACGCCGACGACGACTCCAACAACTCCATCAGTTCCATCCTTCCAATCAAGCAGGAGCCTGATGGTGACCAGCCATCCCCTGATAGCAGTCGTGGTGAGTGAAATTCTCCCTTCTTTATCGATTCGAGAGTTGCGGCAAAAACCATGCCTGAAATCTGCTCCAACCAATCCCTATACACAGCACAGGCTTACAACCTTTTGCATACACGTAAGGGGAACGTAACAAAGAGGAGTGCGCCGAATCGTCCATGAATTGGATGTCATGCGTTGAACTTAGATGCTCATGCCCTTAACTTCAAATTCAGGCCAGCTAGGGAGAAAAACTTTTCGATCGATCTTTTTTTTTTTTTTTAGAAAGAAGGCAACAATTATTTAGAAGACTTGAAAGTTTTTAATATGAAGTTATAAAATGCCTCCCTAGTCCCTACTGTACCTCAAGTTTAAGACAATACCTCTGACTGGAGCTAAAGCTCCGTGTGTAGCCCAGGAAGGCTTTGCGCATAGCTGCATACCTTGGATGCAAATTACATTTAAAATGTGATACATCTTGAAAAAGGTGGAATTCTCAAATGAAAAATTGGGAAACCCTGCATTTGAATAACATTTCGCTTAAATTGTAATACTATACATATAAGACTACTTGCTTGGTTCGCAGATTTTTCCGTTGAAATGAAAGAAAGGGCTGTAAATGCTGAACATGTATGCCATAGTTGAGATTCGTAATTGAAATTGAAACACGCTACATATCAGGGATCAGGAAGGCTTTGCAGAAAGCCGCTTGAAGTATATATGACTATATCGAAATACAGTATTTAATTCATGCATTGACTAAAAAGTTGCGCTATATGAATCTCGCTATTGTACTGGATAAATTATGAAACAGCCCTGTAGCATGATATTGTGCATATTCGAAAAGCATTTCATTTTTATCCAGATTTCGAAGCGTGTTTAATACTGTACATCAGTACAGTATTCGCCTTTCCCATCCCCGTTTCCATTCCGTAGGACTTTTTGCTTCTGTCAGCAAGGAAGGTTTTCGGGATTTTGTGATGAAATAAAAACTCAGGAAAATTGTATTTCGTTTCTTTGAACTCATCATTATGGAAGTGTCGAAGTTTCATGTACTGAACGGTGTTGTACTCAATCGAAACTATCGAGAGCGAAAGCCGAGAAGACAATTGCGGCTGGCTCTTTGTTGGAAAAAGGTAAAACAGTTCACAAGTGTTTTTCTAATTCGACTAGGTGTCGCTGCTATTCCGAAAATTTTGCTCCAGGATCTTGCGTAGTTCATTGGTTTTGGCGGGTGCATCTCAAACGACTGAGTAGAAAATGTGCAGTAACTCAGCAAGATAAATTTACTGTATTGTACATACGGTAATGAACGCGTTCCGCCGCGGATTGAAATGAGGCGATAAGGAGCTGATAGCGTTCGTTGATACGAGTACGACTTTATTTATACTGTAAGCGTGAAAAGAGTTCTCATTTACGACAGGGGAAACCGTTGGCGTATTTCGAATGCCGCTCTGTTCCCACACGACAGATATTGTTTTCACTTCCTCGAAGGAAAACGCGTTTCACACATTCCAACTTTTAAGCCTGTTGATCGCTCTTTTTTTCCACCGCTAAAATACTTCATGGATTCATTCCTTTCTCCCCCTTGGCTCCTGCGTGGTTCCGGCTGCCAACGCGACAGCGTTAGCTTGTGCAAATGTCAAGGGGTAACTTCCGTCGTGTTGTGTTTATGCTCAATAAAGTTTATCGCTTCATCAACGCGTTTTAGTCGTTTAAAATTTGTGTGTTTTTAAGCACGTCAGATGAACCAGGTTCCACCATTATTCGCAATAAATAAAAAAAGCGCCTTAAATTCGATGAGTGCTTTGCCCAGGATCGTGAAAAAGTAAGAAAGTACGCAATGTTAAACATGCGCCGGATTCTGAACTCAGTTAACCTGTAGCTTCGTTTTTTTTATCGCACTTATTTTTCTTCCGTTCCGACTCACTTATTGACAAATAATTCTTTCGGATTCTTTCAGTCTTTTTGTCAATATTGACGTGATAAGCAAGTGCTTTCGGTTGATCCTATATTTCGCTGAAAATGCAGTGCTGAGAGGGAAATTCTCGAGATTTTACGTTTGTTTAAAAAAATATTTATTTTTTTTATCGGAAAATTGGAAGTTTCAAGCAGCCAATAATTGAAGCGAAATTTATCGTCGTATCCTGTTTTCACCTTCGATGCTTTTTTAGAGAGGGAGAGAGAGATTATAATGCTCTAAATGCTTCCGATTTCCACTTAGAACTAGTGCTTGTTTTGTGAAGTATTGTGTTCTCGCGAAAATGAGCAGCACTTTCCTTTTTGACACGCAAAAATCGACGTGCCTGTTGGAATTGGAGTATTCGATTCGCATGCGGAATGCAGCTTTATTAGTTCGTTCAAGATAATGCGGCAATACGAATGGACCATACCCTACTATTTCATCGAAGAATTTTTTCTGCTGAAAATGCAAGTTATCTGAGGCAAGTAAAAGACAACTACTATGCATTCAACGTCGTGCACCTTTCGTATTTTAATTTTTCATTAGGATGCTAATTGGGATTCATGTCACTTCAAAAAGCCCTATGTTTTCTATTTGACATTCAAATGTACCCTGTTTGAGGCGATATTATTAGTTTGGCTTTTTCGGTCCCTCCAGAAAGTATGAAATCCTGACTGTAGACCAAATGAGAGTGAGATTTTTACCAGCAACGTTATTTTTCAATTCGCAAACGGTTAAATAAAATAAAAACGCATCTCAAAGTGGACTTTGTCTTCTTTTTCTGGGTTTCTACCTATGACATCTTTTCAGCAAACAAATTTCTGTCGTTTTTTATTTTCGAAGCATGAATGGGTTGTGCGTCCACGTGGAGGCAATGAACTCGGCTCGCCGCAATGTGATTTATGGACAGCAGTCTCACGTCGACATCTAGCGGCTAGAAAATATTTTTTTAAAAAGGAAAAAAATCTCGGTGATCTCTTATCACTCGCATCTCTTTGAACCCCAAACTCCTTGTTTCGAAGCGGAAGCAGCAAGGCCAAGATTACATATTTATTCGGATCCGACGCCCGGAAAAGGGCGAGTGAGACGAACCGTCTTGTTTGTGTATCCTTATACAAAAGGGGCAGATACGATCGCATTTCCGTGCGTCAGGACTTGATCTGTTTTCCTTCTGCCAGCGTATTTTTACCGTTCTTAAACGACGAGTTTTTTTATTTATTTTTATTCTTCTCTCTATCTCTTCTTCCTGCTTATTCTGTGTCGAATTCCGAACTGGTATCATTCGCGAACGACGACGTCCGGGAAAAGAACTGCGAAACGTGTTCGTCCCTCGAGGGGGAGAGACGCTGAAAAGGAAACAAGGACTTCCGACGCGGCCCAGTTTTCCTTGCGACTGAAATAGCAGACCGTTTTCTTCTTCAGTTTGCCTCCTACTTGAGAAGCTTTGAAGTTATGAACTGCCAAACGTGCTAGCGATGACGAGAAAATTAAAATTTTGAAACTTTTATCGTATTTCTCGATAGACCCTTCGGTGAGAAAAAAAAAATACTACGCCGTTTCTCGCGCATCAATTGTCGGATGGAACTCTGTTAACGCTTGCACTTGACAGACTTACTTTCAAAACTACTGTATCATTTTTTGATAAAGAAAGAAAAACCCAAGTCTGATTGCCAGCCTCTAAAAATGATTTTTTAGGTAGAGAAACAAAAGCTTGACTGTTTTTTATCGCTGTGGCGATGGGGAAAATTCAAGAGCAAGTCAGGAGCAAAATGTGCATAAAGGTCTTCAGAGAGGACAAATTTTATCAGGATGTTATAGTGCACGAAAAAAATGGAGTATCGACCAAAAATTTTCCAATTTTCGGTGGATTTTGATTCAATTGCCTCTGATTTGTTAATGGAAGCTTTTCTTTTTCGTGAATATTTTCTTTTTGGTTTCTGTGAAGTATGCACACAAAAAATCATTTTTAAATTGCAGAGCTCAGCAGAAAATTTTCTCGCTGAGTTTTTCGTTTACGGTGTATTTCGCGTATGAAATAAAATTACGATTTTTAAAACTGTGAGAAAGTGCTGAGGTACCTGCTTAGTTGTTTATGCTCTCATTAATGGTGGTCGTAATTGAATTTATATAGGCTAACTAATTTTCGAAAAACTTTGCCACAGGATTTCATGGATAGGCTCATGACTGTCCGGCGTTGATGCATTACTTACGTACCTGCTCCTCAGACCAGGTTATGGAATCCTGAATTATTTCACGCTATTTTGTCTTGGAATGGGATTGCAAAATGCGGCTTTGTCTTCTTATATCAGGAATCAGCCTAATTGCCCACAAAGAAGAAAACTCTGTGAATTTGTGTGCCATTGACGTGCTCCTCTATACATGTCAGGTAAATATTTTTTTATCATCTTGCGTTTTTTGTTTGCCCTGCGAACGTTTTCAACGAAAGTTGCTGATTTTTGAAAAAGGTAAAATCCAATATAAACCGTTTTGTGGATCTCTTTTTTTAATTGACGAATACGAAGGTGCAGGCGCGATTTCTTTCATTTGCTGATTATCTTGAGTATACCCCACCTATTTTATAAAAATTAATATACAGTACTGTACTTACTTTTTGAGAAATCTTAGTTGGACACTGCTTAAGGTAAAGAGATTGCTGAAAATATTGTTGATTCGTGAGGAATGTTCAATATTCATTTCGTCTCCTCTTAAGTACAATTAAAATTAATTATAGAACGAAACCCACCATTTCTTCTGTTTCATTTTTTTCGGTTTGTTAAACCCGGAATGCTTTTCTTGAGTACAATATATTTGCCCACCAAATCGGGTTTGCCGAGATCTTTTATACTGAATCGAGTCTCAGGTCCTGCGTGGAACTGGATCCTAAAGATTAGAACTGAACTTATTTTTGCACGCGTGGCAGAACGTACCTCAGTTGCTGCAAAATTGTATCCCCAAGTTTTGCCAAGAACATGATGTGTTTTTAAGAAGAAGAAGAAGAAAAAAAGGTGTTTTCCTAGCCTCCGATAATGCGCGTAGAAACGATGAGATACCTGTGGGAAACGGAAAGCAA